TTGTTTTATTGTCATATTATTTATCATACTGGTCATAGGAGGAGAAGCGCACCTTGATTGATGCTGCGAAGTTCACAGACGAGATACGAGAGAATGATTACTTCAAGAATCTCGCCGATCGGGCGAGGAAGCGGGGGGGAGATCTGAGAGATGTTGCGTGTGAAAGAGCTGTAGGTGATGATGTTTCGATAATGAAGTAGCAGAGCGCTAACGGTTAACCGGCTATAGAAACAACTTGGAGGAGGAGGAAAGTGTTGAACATGAAACATAAAGTGTTGAACATGAAACAGCATCACGTGCAGGGTCCAGCCTGCGCCTTCCATAAATAGCGTGCCTTGGCGGCATCTCTAGCTTAGAGAATCAACGCACTTCTTTCATCTGTGTTCCGCTGTAACGTTCAACAAAAAGGAGAATTGAACACTGTCACGGGCTATGCCCGGTTTACTATGTACTGGGACTGGCGCCGGCCCCGCCCTGTGAAGCCAGGTGCTGCGAGAACGTTCTACAATAGGCGATAAAATACTTGTCACGTTATGAGACTCATTGTTAACTAAGCTTGCTTTTTTTGTATTGAAAAAGAATTGATTGTCGTTTTTTTCCATCCTGCAGAAGGGTTCATGTCATTTATCTTTAGTTTAGAAGACTTCCCAGCCACCTGATGAAATCAGGGCGGCTGGCCAGCCTCTTAATCTCCTGATATCAATGATTTTATGACATCTAGCAATTACGTCAAGTCTGCTTGTTCAATCAACAGAGGCAGCCTTATCCGACACACCCCCTTAGATGAGCTTCTTCCTAAGAACTCATCTACGACTATTTATTGCCTCTGTTAAGCTTCAGTGTCAGCACAATATTACGGCTGGGCACCCCGGGCTCGGCAATCCTGTTTGCCTCCCTTCGCACCTAGCTTCAACTCGAGGTCTTTTTCCTTGTCAGGGTTTTGAAGTCTCTCTTGCAACTGGCTTCGAGCTTCTTCCAATTTGGCTCCTATGCCAATACGGCTAATCCATAAGTCTGGTACACCAATCTGTAAGGTTCAGAGATATCATAAACAATGGGTTCTTCAGTATGAAGAAACAACAGATGCAAGCGCGTGATATCACAATACGCAAGTCTGCACAGCTGTCACGTTTTGAGAGTCATTGTTACAGAAGTATTGTTGACACACACATAAGAATTCCGTTTGCTCATTCGACTGTTGGATAAGGATGCTTCTGTGGATTAAAGAAGCAGACGTAACTCAAATGCTGGATGAATAAATGATAGATATCAGAAGTTTGGAAGGTGGCTGGGAAAGCTTCTTAATTTAAGATAAATAATACGAATCATTCTGGACAATAGAATAAGGGCAGCAAGAAATAATGAACTTGGGCACAAAAGCTTATTTGTCAGGAAGTCTCACGACGAGACTGTCGCGATGTAAATCGCTTACGGGCTCAAGCCTAGTTGCCCCTAACAACACCTTCCCCTGTAGAGGTGCACGTGATTAAGATTGCAGCACCTCCTTTTCTAGTGATAGCTTTAAGCTCTAGAAACAACAAGAACAAGAAGAACAATGATCATATGACTACTGCAGTAGCTAGTGATTACCGCCTGTGAACCGACAAGTACCTGGGAAGGGACTCATCTAAGGGGGTGTGTCGGATAATGCCTCTGTAGACTGAAGTCGCAGAGCTTGGTGTAATTGCTGGATGTCATAGCGTCGGCTATCATGACTAAACTTAGCCGAAAGTTAGATTCGGACGAAAGGAAGTTTTTTGGTATTAAAAAGAGAGCTGCAGACGGAGTCTGCAGCACTCGCAACAACAAGAATAATGATTTTATCAAGAAGCTTAGTTAATATGAGTCTCATAACGTGACAAGTATGCACGCTGCTTTAGCACGTACAGGCAAAGAGCTAAGCCAATAAATAACCGAGACTGATGGGGATACATAATGATGTGCGTGTGAAAAACATGGCCAGTTAAATTCGTTTAAACCCGTGAGATGACCATATATAACGCAAACAACTCCGCTAATCGGCCGAGAAAACCCCAGGGTCGGACAGTTGCCAAAAACAAGAAAAAGATTCCTTTCATCCCTCGAGGCATTTTCTCGTCGACCTCGCGCCGTCGTTCATCGCCAACATTGCATTCATGGCAATCCAGTGGCGCCAGCTCATGCTTGTGCATACTCGCCTTGCAGCAACCTTGTTGCCTCGCTGTATGCGTTCAACTTTCCTCTCTCCGGCCCATCGTCCGGGTAGTCAGCCATTGATGACAATGGCGTCAAGTACACTTTGCAACGGCAACTCTATCCAAGAAGTCCAAGAACCTCTATGTATTATGCCCAAGTCTGGGTTGAGTAGAGACTATATAAAAAAGGGTTATAAATAATAGTCTAGTGAAATTAACATGAAAAGGAAGCAGCCATCCCGTACACGGAGTGCAATTTCTTCCGTCCATTCAATCGCCCTTTATCCAGCGCCGCCATTGACTCGCCGCACGCAGATCAAGGCTCTGGTTTGCCCCAGCCCCAAAGTTACATATGTATGCCTAGTCGGACTTGCGGCCGCACTGCTCTTTGCACTCACTGCAGGCATCGCAGGTCCCGGAATATACGCAGTCATAGCAAAGTCCATTGACCTTGTCGCACGCGGTATACGTCCACGTCGTCTCAATGTCGTTCTGTCGATGGACGCAATGGCCCGGCTCAGCAGGTGGCGCCTCGTCAATCTTGTACGTCTTGGAGAGCATCCAGGGCTGTCTCTTGCCGTCCTCGCAGACAAAGGCGGCCTTGAACTCGCCGGGTCCGAGTTGCGCATTGTCAAACTCGACCGTGGCAATGTCATTTTTGCCCTCGGTCTTCTTCACGTAGGCCCAGGCCTTGAAGTCGGCGGCATAGGGATTGCAGGCGTCGGCCGGCCACATGCCGACCCATGGGCGGTGGCCGCCGCACTTGGGGTCCGGGGCGTAGTAGCTGATGATGGTCTTAGTGCCCGTGAGCCAGGAGTTTAGAATGACATTCTGGCTTCCGTCGGGAGGAACCTGTTGGGGGGCGGGCGAGCCGAGGACGGGCTGCAGGGCGCCCAGCGCGAGCACGGTTGCGGCTGAGAGGTACATGATGGGAGAGAGAAGGTCTGGTGGTGTTTATATGTGACGAGGTGCTTGAAGGTGAAGAGTGTCTTGGTGGTCGGTCAAGTTGAGACGTGGAGGAGGGCGGGCATCTTTATAGTATCACCTTTGCCTACTTGGCTACGGCGTAGCTATTCGGCGTGCCCGGGGGCGACTTGGCACTCGAATGTATTCCACATCATGGTCAACACGTTTTCCCGACTCGTGATGCTCTTCTGGGCTGACGAGATATCGGCAAGTGGTTGACCGGGCGAGTTTGGCCTAGGCTTGGCTGATGGCATGACTTGGTGGATCTATAGTATGTATATACTACGACGGCTATAATATCTAGCCGTTATTAATCAATTCATGCGTGACTGAGCCGTTTGTATATGGCTGGTCTAGGCCCCCGGGACATAGGCCAACCCATACCATTTGGCCGCGGCAGACGTCAACTTGAAAAGAGCATCTCGGCAAACGAGTCATGGCGGATAAGGGCTTAGAGGATGTGATGTTATCGAATGAGCAATGGTATTCCACTACCTCTGTGTTCAGCGCGTATAATTCACTCTGCGTAAGCGGCAGGGAGGAATCACGCATGCCACATTCCTCCTGCTCCTGCAAAGTCCCGATTCAGAGGCTCGAATGTGTAGTGAAAGGGACGAGCAGCCGTGGCATTGGGAAAGAAAATGGTTCATTCCCTCTTCTGTTTCCACTTTTCATTTCATAAACATGCAGCCGTGTTGACTTGCCCGCATAGCTTGGCATCTCGTATATTGGCAATATGGACCCCCTCGCAATATTATTGTATTGTCAAGTGGTGCATATTGTATTACGCAATATGGCATTGGTCCATATTGTATTGTATTGCCAAGAACCCAATATATTGGCAATATGGCAATATATCCCATTTATTGCACGTGACCCGGGCATCGTGAAATCTGACACCGTCACCACCTAAACAACCTCATGTAGGGCGTGGCACGAGTAATCCTCGGGAGGATTGACGCCACTTTGCGTCGTTTGTGGGTCTTGGTCTTGTCCAATATCATGCGGAAAAGGAACTGCCGAGTCTAGCCTCAATAATAATGAGTGGAGATCGACCCATAACATCCGGGCCGGGGTGTCAGATTTCACGATGCCCCACTTGAGTTACTACCGGGGTTAGGTCCGTTATTGAGGTCAAAATTGATGATTGTATTCATTGATGCTTGTATCTTCTGTGTGTTCTTGTCGGGCGGGGAGACTTTGTCTCCCCTCCCAGTTGCACCGCCACACGCCCACTATTGCTATAGCCGACTTTGCATTTTTAGCACCGTTTTAATTGCACACTCTCCC